GGTGTGGGTGGGGTGTGGGTGTGGGTGGCGTGTGTGGGTTTGGGGTTTGGGGTGTGGTTGGGGGTGGGGTGTGCGTGTGCGTGTGGGTGTGTGGGTGTGGGTGTGGGTATGGGTGTGGGTGTGTGGGTGTGGGTGTCGCTGTGGTTGTGGGTGGCGTGTGTGGGTTTGGGGTGTGGTTGTGGGTGGGGTGTGGCTGTGGCTGTGGGTGTGGGTGCTTATACGAGACAGTCATCGATCCACACCCAACATCTACCCCTACCCCTACATCCACACTCACAGCGACGCACACGCACACGCACACCCCACACCCACACCCACACCCTACAAAGTTGGGCATCTTAGACTGTAATTATAGAGATTGTTTAAATTAATTGCACGCACTTCAATTTGCGGAGAATTGAAAGACGAAATTTTATAAAAAAAAACAAACATTAAAAGAAATATGATTTATACATCAAGAGGCTCATTTTTCTTGTAAAATCTTATATTCAAAAAGAAAAAACAAAGTTTGTAATGAGTTATATTTTTGTTTGTTATTTATGAAATGTGCCTTCTGTCTTTCTAGTGTTCATTTATTCATTGAATGTACTCTTATTTAACAACAAAGAAAGAAACAGTCTTTTTCTTCCAAAGGCTTTTTTATACTGGACATCCCAGAGGGAAGGAATCGATGAAACTGGACGAATATGAACAGAGGGGAGATGTGGAGTCAAAACAAAATGAGAGTTTTACCTAGATGTCCTTCAGGATGACTCCAATGTATTTTGATACAATTCATATATGTATCGTGGTTTTTTTTGACTCATGAAATATTTTCATGATTAGCCTTCGACATATTAATTGTGTTTACATCTATATCACGTTACATGAACATTATTAGATAACATCATGCATTGATTTATGAATCCCAAAACACTCCAAAACAAATAGAAAACTGGTCTCTCAACACAAAAGTAGGATTACACAGCTGAAACTACCTTAACAATCTAAAACGTCAAATATTCAAAATAATACATCAAAATTTAAATCAACCAAACACAATAACTATATTTCTATAATGCAGTACGAATGATTATATTTGTTCTTATCCATATATATATGTATTTGATTTCACATACATTAGTTTTATGAATTAAATATGAATGAAAAATACATATAAAAACGAAAAAGAAACCATACAAGAATTCTAACGACGGGTAATTAGTAATGATCATCGATTCGATTCATTTTTTTTTGGTGCCTAATGTTCTACTCGAATAAACATGCACGGACAGATGACATATGTATAACGCATAACCAGCAAAAAATAAACAGTAGACAGCTTAGATACGATATATATTTAAAAAAAAAAGTAATACTCTATTTCATTTGATTTTTCGTATACTTTCATACAATCTAGTTAGGATAACATGTTTGATCAACGATGTCTTTTTGATAGAGACCAACCAATTGATAACCTTCGAATTGTAATAACACGTCATGGTGAACGTGCTGATTAGGCATTAGGAAATCACTGGTTAAGAAGAATACAAAGAAATGGTGGTCATGATCCACGAATATCACGTTTACCACGTCGACCAAGTTTTTGTGAATGGAATTATGATCCACCAATAACTATTGCTGGAGAAACAAAGTGGGTCTGTTGGCCAAAAATTACTTCAACTTGGTTATTCAATTGATTATTGCTATTCGTCATCTGCATATCGATCAATACAAACAGCAAATAGAATCCTTGAAAGTCAAGGACGAAAAGCTGTACCAATTAATATCGAACCTGGTACAAAAAAAATATAATTTATATATAATAAACTTTTCATCTTTTTCTTTTTTGTGTAAGGTCTATTTGAATGTCCATCTTGGTATTATGGTTCACCATTAGTATTTATACCTCCCAAATATTTAGCTATGGATAGAAGATTTCATATAGATTCAAGTTATGTACCAATCTATGGTGATGTTGATCCAAGTGAAAATGAGAAACAATTCTATCGACGATCTCATTATGTTATTGATGCAATAGTTCAAGCTCATAAGAATCAAGGTGGAACAATTTTATTATCAGCACATGCTGGTTCAATTGAAGCAATACCACCTAGTTTACGTGGTATATTTAATCGACGTGCAGAGACTCAAAATCTTATGTATGAAGCTTCAAGAGTTAATTATTGTAATTTCCGCCTGCCAGGAAAGTTTCTTAACTTTCACAGGGACCTATGATCTTCCTTGGATAGTTATAGGAGGCGACCCTGGGCTGCTGGTAGCCACTCGTCTAGTCATGAGGCTAGCAACCTCTAGCTGGACACAAAACTATTATTGCTAACAAAAAGAAACATTATCGATGCGTAAATACACAAAATCATATCTTCTTTGGCGGATGGAACGTTAGATCCTGTGTAAAACAATCAAAAAAAGAAATAATAATTAAGCAATTAAAAAACTAGCGAATTCAGATAGCTGCACTAAGTGAAACGTGTATGTACGATTCCGGTATAAAATCAGTAAGCGACTGCACGATGATCTACTCAGGTGCACCACATGAAACAAAAACACGAAAAGCTCATGGTGTGGCAATCTGCCTAGATCAGACTGCCACAAAGTTTTGGAAGGATTCAGGGAGCGAATGGGTACCAATAAGCGGGTGGGTGTTGGGTGTGGGTGTATGTGTGTGTGGGAGTTTTAGTAAATACTCGCACACACCCACACCCATACTAATTGAGCACATGGCATATTATTCGAGTCGTCTCTCTCGTGCAATGACTGAAAGGGGAGAATTCTTGATGTTTACGTACCAGAACATTAACGGATCCAGACAGGGCTTTCCAAAGATTCGCTATTTTTTTCTCAGGAAACGATTAAATTCCGAAAGAAGTGTGTAGTCACAGAATTTAAATATCCTGGTAGGATTCGATCAGAGCCCTGAATAGATTACCATTGTTGTTGAATCAGGTATCTTTCAGAAAATCGATAATTCTTGGGGTGTGACATATGAGGTGAATTACGGCGACGATAAAAATAAACACGACATCCACATCCCCACCCGCTGATACTCCCTTGTGCTGGCTTTTTGTTGAAATCTTCCTCTGATTCAACTGCATTAGTCGACTAGATCCTGTCGAAAACTTTATAAAATTTGAAGTGAATACTCTATGTTAGTTGTGTAAAGATTCCAAGTAGGACATGGCTGAATTGTGGTGAAATGCTGAATTCATGACTTAGAAAAAAATCTGGTCAGGAATCGGAAGAAATCCTGAACGGGATCCTGTGTAACCGTGAGAAATTTTGGAAGCAGGAATTATCAGGAATAGACCTTGAATCCTAAGAAATCTTGACAAGATCCTTAAGGTGCAGGATCCTGACGTATCCTTCCAGAGTTTCCAAAGGAATTGACAGAATTAAGACTAGGCATGGATTCTATGTTGAAATTGTTTAAGCTGGTGTTGACGAAGCAAAAGAATGCCGAAGAAAAGAGTACTATGAGCCAAGCTGCACTATTTTCATTGAAGCCAACTGATATCTTTTGTGACGATCACCTTCAAGTTTTTTTAGCGATACTTTTGTAGTATAATAACTCTGTAGTAGTATTATTGATTTTCAATGTTTTTCAAAGTCGATTCGAAAGCAGCCAACGGAAGTTGGGTGTGAGTGTGGATGTTGAAGTATTGTCTTAACCCACACCCACTAGGGAACTGCACGAAATTTTCTGGACCCGGTCAAAGAATCGTGAACCATTCTATCATCTCACATACTGAGCCATTATATCAACATGCATTCTGTAGAGAAATGTTCGCTCTTTCAGTCTATATAATCAGAAATATGCAACAGACTTTCATAGCCAAAATTTCTTAAATAAAAAGATCTGGTCCAGACTTTCGGGTCTAACCAGGTCCAAGTTTGGACCTGGACCTTTTTATTTAAAAAAAATTGATTATGAAAGTCTGTTGTACATTTCTGATCACATAGACTGAAAGAGCAAGCATTTCTCTACAAAATGCATGTTGATATAATGGCTCAGTGTTCGAGATAATAGGATGGTTCACGATTCTCTGGCTGGGTCCAAAAAACCCGGTGCAGTTCTCTAACACTCACACTCACACTCGATGATTGAGTTTATACTACATATACGCTTCAACATAAATTGTGTCAGTGTGTATTGGGAATGTATCGTCACTATAAAAGCATATTTAGAAAAGGAAAAGGTACTTGTTCTGAAAGTGCTTGCAGTTTTCTATCCCATGTGATCCAAACCGAAGGAAAACCGCCGGTTGACCGTTCGGTATAATGTGCGCTATATCAGCGGTATTGCCGGTAGAGGCAGAAATACCGGCGGTATACCGACAATAAACCGACGGTAGTTTCAAGTTTTACCGGTACAATCAGGATTTTAATCTACTGATCTGTACTCTTACTCCTTCACCCTGG